ACACAATAGCAGCTATTCATGACTTAAAAATATTACAAAAATAATAAAATAATAAATGCACTTAAATGGACCTTGTGTTGAGATTGTTTAGTCAACTCTAAACAAGGTTGGGAATGAACTTTTAACCTCAACTTTGAATCCAACATGGACAAGATGTCTGTAAAGTAGTCAGAAAATTAAAAATGACAATCTCATTATTACAAACTTTCTGCTGTAGCTATAAATGTGTTTGAAGTCGCACTTTATGGGGAAAATAACTGTTAATGTGATGCTGAAGAGATATGAAGACCTGAGTGAAAGCTCCAGTCGTGGGACTTACCCCCGCCTCGGTCCAGGCTGAGACTGCAAGCAGGGCCAGGAGACCCAGGATGCACTTCATCGCTGCCATGTTACCGAAAAACCTGCAGGCTGAAATAAAACAGATTTAAAAAAAAGTTAGGAGCATGAAGAGCAGGCAGGCATTATTATTCACTTACCTTTCTCCCTTTATTTCAGATAGGAATGTTGGAAATGTGATGCTCTGTGAAGGCAGCGGTCAGCATCTTTTATATCAAAACCTATAGAGGTCCACCTTCAGCAGTAAATATGCAGGGAATTATCTCCCTAATCCTGCTAATACATGTTTACCTTCTTAAACCCCATTCAACATTAAGTTGATTTTTCACACCTTTCTTACTGACACGGGGTGCAGATATATGGCCACACTAATCCAGGATAACAAAGAAGGTGTAAGAAGTGTTTAATGTTGATATTGATCTTGACTAAGAGTCCTAACTGCTTTGGGATTAAGTGTTCATCTTCTGGGAATATATAAGAGTCGCTTACAGATGCTATGAGAGTGTTTTTGAAGAGGCCACAGAGGTTGACAGCCTGCCACTGAAACACGGCAAAATGAATCCGTTAGATTTAAAAGTGTCCCTTCTGTGTTTGTCTTTAATGAACCTTTGCTGACTTAATGAATAAACAATGGTGGCCTTGTTCAGAGTTGACCCTGACAACAGGCCTTTGCTGTGAGCTACTCCATAGACAGGGATTAGTTGCTGAACACATCTATTAAAGCTCTACCACCACCATTGTTACTGTTACTACTGCCTCTACCAGTTGTACCACCAGTGCTTATAACTACAACCAACGCTACTGCTATCACTACAAGGACCACTGTTACTCTGACTGTTATTTGGTGGCGGAAAGTAACCAATTACATTTACTCAAATACTATACTTCAGTACAATACAAAGGCACTTGAACTTGAGTATTTCCATTTTATACTACTTTATAGTTTTATTATTTATTTTATTATATTTAGATTTGACAAATTTTAAAAAAGTGTAACTCAACCCAACCTTTTTGGCTTGTTTTCTAGTGTCAACTGTCTAGCTGGGGGTCCTCCTCAAGTTTCAGATGTCTGTGAGTTGTTACACAGCACAGTTGGGCTCAGTGATTGCCTATTTACACTTGTCCCAGACACAGCAGTGAATTACAATCCACATGTAGGCCAGATCTGGTAGCCAATTATGGCCCAAACATAACCGTATCTCAGCCAACTGTATGACCATAGCTGGCCCTGTCCTGGCCCTATGTTGCACTGGGGGATCCTGGACTGAAATTGTAGACTTGAGTGACAGGATCTCCCAAACATGTTTAAATGCGCCATTGATTGTCATCTGTTTGTTCACACCCCCATCACCTCACCTGATTTTACATTACATTTTACATGTCAAAACGTGATACATTTACAGCTTATACATCCTTGAAGCTGAAACATCCTGGCGCACATCCAGCATGATATATCATGAACCATAAGACAGGCCCAATATTTGATCAGCCCAGTATTTACTTACAGTATTTTGTAAGGATTGGTATGTTGATGAAAATAAGAATGATCCTGATCTAAAGTCAACATGTGAGAGTTAGCACAGGGATCTCAAACTGCTGGCCCTCCAGCCTAAAACATGAAGGCAAAAATATAATACAATCCTGCCACAAGATTTTGTTTTTAAATATTTTTTCTAGTTGTGTCCTATCAACATAAATTACCCCTTCATATATAATTAAAATATTTGGTGCAAAATCATGGCAAAGGTCAGAAGTGTGCAAAGGGTTGAAAAGAAGAACAACTAAGACGAGGCGGCTGTGGTTCCGTTCCGGTCAAACAGAGTCAGGGTGCTGCTGTTGTGCATGTTGGAAAAGCTCAGCTACACTAAATGGAACAAAGCCTTAATTAGTATCATTGGTAACACCTGTGTTTACCCTACTATTTCATGTCAAAATGGCTGCTGTGAAAAAGGTCTATGATTCAGGTTGTTTGTGACATGGCTGCACTGCTGCTCTCTCAAACCAACTTCACTTATTGTCCACTAGGAGGTGACACATCATCACAGTTCTCAATGACTTTGCACATACAGAGACCCACTGTCACCATTTCTTGTTCAGTATTGGTTATTGAAAGTCAGGTTTAGTTTATTTAACTAAGGACCTTTATTCAAGTACTTTGCCTTAGTGAACATGAAATGTAAATTTTATGCTACTTTA